CACTTTAATTATTTAATGATTCTGGATTTTTTTTTTTGAGCCAGAGTCTTGCCATATAGCCTTGGCTCTCCTTGAACTCACTGTAATCTTCCTGCCTTAATCTACCAAGTTCTGGGATTACAGGTGTGCACTACCGTGCTTGACTTCAAAAACTTTTTAATTTGATTTATGTATTTTTATTTTTTATGTGTATGATCAATTTGCCTGCATATATGTAAGTGCACCATGTCATACAATGCCCGTGGAAACCCGAAAAGGCATCAGGTCCCCAGGAACTAGAGTTACAAATGGTTGTTAGCCCTGTGTGGGTGCTGGGAACTGAACCTGAGTCCTCTGCAAGAGCAGCCAGTGCTCTGAACCACTGAGCCATCTCTCTAGCCCCACATTTATATATTTAAATAAATCATAGTCTAGTTGCACATAGTCTAGAGTCAAGTTAATTTCATGACTGTGCAACCCGCAGTTTGCTTTATTTGGCTAACTCTGTTCCTAAGGTCCTATATTTATGCCTGTAGCTGGGTTCCTTCTTTGTTGCTGTTCTGAATATTGTGTGGCATTCCATTCTGATAATATGGGTTGTGTCCATGTTCTGCTGTGATCACTTTTTTTATTGAGAGGATCTCACTATGTAGCCCTGATTGGCCTAGAACTTGCTTTGTATTTGTAGACCAGGCTGACCTTAAATTTGCAGAGATTCATTTGCCTCTGCCTCCCGAGTGTTGGGATTAAAGGCATGTGCCACCACATCCTGCCTTGTGATGATATTCTTGTGCTAGACTCCAGGAGGACATGCATGTGCAAGAGGTTCTTGTGTCACACCCTAGATTCTGGAGTATGGGAAGCCCCCACTTTGCTAGACAAAGGGAGGTGTGAACTGATGCTTCAAGCAGGATGTGATTTCTGCTTGTTCCTCATCCTACTAGCGCTGGGGATTATCTAACTTTTTTCTACCTGGTGGGTGTAATACAGTGTGGTTTCAGCCCAGTACCTGGGACATTGGAGACACTGGATAGCTTTTTTAGCCCTCAGATTTCCCTCGGCTGTTCCCCTGTAGCCAGCCCCTGAGCCCTTTGTGCTAATGTGCTTCCTGCCATCTTTCCCTCAGTGGCTGGGCAGTGTTCTAGAATGTGGAGGCTCCCTCCCTGGCTTTGTGTCTTCCATCTAGTGCAGTGCACTGTTCCCTTGGATACCTGGACTTGGGCTGCCAGTGGACTTTAATGGCAGAGGAGAATGCAAATGTGGCCCTGGAGGTATGAGGATGGTTGCCAGCTGACCACAAACCAGAATTCCTCTGGTGTTGTATTCTTC